GCATCATGATTTAACGGCCATCTTATGTGATGACTCCCATTTTGGGTATTCTCATAAATTCCTTTAACCAGCTTTCCCGGATTTGGAATACATAAAAGAGATGACAAAGCTTTTTGACGACGAAAGACACAGTGATGATGAATCGGCGAATCGTAGTATTCGGAAGCTACTTATTTTCTCTGGCCAGACTTTTATATTATACTATATAGCTCTATTATTAAGTAGGTTTGATTTTATTGCGATTATCTTCAATACATCAACAATTTTATCTGTAGCTTGACCTAAAGCTATGCACAATATTTGCATCGTGACCGAAATAAACACGAAGATATAAACTGAGGGCGTGCTCTTTGTTAGTTATTTAATTTGGGACATTTGAATATGATAAACAATAATACCATTTGAAAAATGGGGATAGCGCGGTTCAATTCAAAACCTTCCCTGATGACTGAGACTCACCTTAAATATGATACATTTTAGATATGTGAAAATTCCTTTCTTTATATGTTTTTGTAATTGTTTATCTTCCAAAGTTGTATGCGAGCCAAGGTGTTCACTCGAGCTCTCGTAACCTATGCCATTTGCACATAGTTTCAGCCTAGAGTTCAATGAAAGCAGTTACATTATCTAGTTTGAATACGTTCGAAAAGAGATTTAACTATGGTTTAATTTTGCTATCACGCAGTTAGATACTGATTATGAGCATTTATTAGTTCGACAAGGCGGTATATGGCGACCCGATTTCTGTACAGACCCGGATTGAGCTTGTTACGAATACAATAACATTAATTCACCCTTGATCGTATATATCGAAGAGCATGTTTGTGTAAAAATACACAACAACAACAACAACAACAACAAAATATATATACACAGGACCAACGATAGCAATTCATTCGTACGGCCCCTAAGTTGTAACATGCATAGACTTAGAAAGTTTAAAAGTCTGCATAGTTACTTAGCTTACTTCAGCACCAGTTTACCAGGCTCCCGCACGCCTGTATCAAAATCCGGAACCCTTCGTAGTATTTATTACAGTTCCCCTCGCACTTATCGCAAATACACCCCTTGCTGGGTTTATGAAAGCGCCCGTTCGTACATAATATGTTGCAGAAGCTGTGGATCACGAAACGGACAACTACGTGACGGTTTGTCCGCTCCTGCTTCTTCCAGCCATTGTTCCTGATCGCCTTCGTGTCTATATTCACTATATATTTCGGCTAATTTTCGCTCCCACTAACTGCGACACTCAGAGGAGGTTTTCGTTGCAGGCAATTTAAAATGAGACCTAAGATTCTCTATAGAAGCCGGAATGTCGGCAGGCGGGTAAACTAGTCGATCTCTTGCTGTTTGAAGGCTTAGGGCACGCTTCAAGAAAGAAGCCTTTATTGAATAGTTCGAGATTTCCTACTGTAAAGTCGACCAAATTATATTTACCCCTCAGGCAGTTACTAGTGTCACTTCGAATAGGTGAAGCTCTATCCTCAGGAAAAGGCGGCTTGGAATCCTTCTGCGATGTAGAGATAAAGAGATAGATGTAGACAAAGAGACGAACAGTGTGAAGTATGGAAACCTGTCACAGGGTCAAATCCTGCGAGAAACAGTATATCGCCAGATCGGCTTGTAACTGGTAATTACGGGCCCAGTTCGGACCCGCTGCTTTATTGTATTATAGGTTCTCGAGAGCCTGCAGAACAAATTTTCGCAACAGACTTTCACTCGAGCTGGCTGCGCTCTGTCGTGAATTTCTTATCACTGACCACAAATAAGAATGGCAGCACCCCAGAGATCGTATCACTCGTCGAAAATATGCCAGCGAGGTGATCAATTCGTGCTATTGAGCTTATTAGACACACGATCCATTCACGACGTGTTAGCTATTTGTATGGCCACCGCTGCTGTTTTCGTACTTCCCAGCATCTTCAGGTATTTCTTCTGCTGTATTGCATATGTTATTCGGCTGGTTATTATCTGCAGCGTAGCGATCAGAGGCTAAACTGCGGGCGGATCATTGCTAGCAGTCTGAAAGTGTTCTGGGCGATAAAGATCATGGCATTGTATTTTCTGGGTATGACTGAGCAACTTCGACAAGGTGTTGTACGTAGCTCTACGATTTGTTGCCCTGACTTTCATTTGATTCCACTAGAGAAGCTCAGCCAAGGCGACCCTCAGAGTTCTATATGTATGCATGTAAATGCAGTTTGCAGAAAATCACTCATTAGTATACTAATTATCTTCTAAAAGGCGATTAAAAAAATCTTCATTTATAAATACATTCAAAATATGCTTTTTAAGTAAATTGTTTCTACTGAAGGATACATCTTTTCTCGCCATTTTTTTTAGGAAGACCTTGTTGGCCGGTATTTGCCGCTTACTGGAATTGGAATTCCTGGATATGTAATGCCTTATTTACCGATAAACGAAAAAAATCTTTTCATATTCTTTTGCATGACGAGAGTAGTGGTCGGTCACGGCTGAGAGCATTGCAAGATATCGTCTTTGAAGAAAATCACTCCAGATTAACTTCGTACCGATTTGATGCGTCTCAACGTCTGAGCTAATTCCCCTTTAAGAAGACTATTTTTGGGTGTTCAAAGGTGAATACTATTATATAGAGCTATTTCCGCGGTTTAAAAGGCTAAAGAAGTTCATTCAAACTCAGAGTGAATTATTTCAGGACTATATGCGCATTCAGTGTTTAATAACTTCACGTGGCAGGGTGTGTCGAGGTGCGGAATTCTCACAAGAGCGAATAGGTTGGAAACAGAAGTTTATTCCTGCCTACAAATTCTGAGCCTTGCGAAAGCGTGCTAACTTTTCTCACGGACGAAGTTCGATTTACTGGTCGATATAAAAAAAAAGTTGGAGCTTCAGTACTGTTACCTAAATATAAGCAAACATCGATTTACTACAAGGAGGGCCACGGGATCAGTGCTCTTAAATGTATCGTGTTTTACTCTCGGATCACTGCCGACGTTCTCTGACTATCTCTCTTGGAAGACGGGATCAGACTGTCGACTTAAGGGCTGAGTCGACGTGCATGAAAAAATGATGGAACACACTTTTGCGTTTCGCGGAATGTGATCATTACGAGCCATTGAAAACCTGCGGCCTTCCAGGTTTCGAGACGACTCGCTACTATGTGCCTGCTGCCGCATCACTTAAATAAATGTCTTAAGTTTTACGATTGCTGTTGCTGCTGCCGTTGAGCATTGCGTCAGACAGCTGATTTTTAACTTGGTTAGGGGTGTTGTATATACATATTTCTAACTTCAGAAATTTACAGGTTATCACGGGATTATTAACACACCCCCCAATGTTCAGCATTCCATAGAACCTTAGTTCTCCTTCGAACAAGATAAACACGCCATCTGAAAGACAAAATCATAGCGTTGGCTGTTGTATTATAAATGTTATTGGTTAACGATATAGTGAAGTGCTTTGTCAGGGGAACCGGGCAAAAACTAGAAGGACCAAACGACCTCTTTGTTTTTGGCGTCCAGAATTTCAGTTAATAATTTTGAAGTCATTAGAAAGAAATTAAGTTTTTTTTTTTAGACTAAAGTGAAAAATAGACAACTAATTTTCAAGAAACTAATTCTCCATGTGAGAATAAACAGTGAACTGTTAGGCTATTAGGCATCAACATGACCCAACGTATACATTGTATCGTGTGAATCCTTCCGCTTGTTACGACCTATGCATTTCTAAACGCCTGCAGTAAGCTACGCTCTGTTTCTATATCCGAGGGTAGCAACACTGTCTAACTTTTTTGGCCGTATTCTCTTCTCAAGCAAACCGCCTTGCCAGCAGCTTGCAGCTGCTATCTTCTAAAGACATTGGGGACAGGAGCTGACAACCATTGTGACAACGTTATTTGGGCACACCCACTCCCCATCTTCATCTTGAAGTCGCTGAGAAAATTCAAATTTTCTTTCGACTTTACACCTCAAGCGCAACCAGTAGCAATTCGGTATCTCATTCCTTGTTTACTCGTTGCGTTCACGTACCTCAGCCAGCATTGGTTCTCTAGTCTTTCCACATTTGAGCACTTACCCCAAGCCCATATCTCGAACTGCCTTGTTACGGACCGTTTCCGCCCTTTACTTCAAACGGGAAGCTGCAGAGCCTCTTCGTCTCTTTCCTTCTCATGTCAGAGTTTGTTGTTACGACTAGTGCTATTACTGAATGACATTACAGATGGCGTAAAAGCCGGAAGTGAATCTTCGAATCTGCTAACAGCTGGTGCAGCGGGTAGGGCCTAAACCGTGTCTGGTGCAAACGGCTTCCAGGCATGGCCACTTCTCTAGGGGAACTCATGTCGATGGACGTGGAGGCATTGAAATCGGCATTGTACGCGGGGGAAGACATAGTGATGACCGCATGTGGTGAAGCTTTTCGCCTTAGCGAAGTGGAACCGAGTGGCTCAAAATGCTCCGAGCTTTCGCATCGAACGACGCCTCCCAACTGACGGTTGACTGACAATATCTCCGCTAGCTTTTGTTACCTTCGACGTTTCGGAAATGGAATGTTCCTGATCAGCTGCCTTTCCAGAGGTTTTGTTGGAGGAAAGTAGTAACTCTGTGGGCTTTGCGGTGTTAGGTTTCTGACTTTAAGTCCTTTTCAAATAGGCTTCATAACTAATATATACAGAGATTGTCGATGACATTGCATTTGACGGAGTATACAGGGGGATCTCCATACCTAACTTCATATATATTTTTGTAACGCATTGAATTATTCAAAGTTTTCAATATACGTGACGTCTTGACGCTCTGTACCATCGACTGAAGCATGACATCCTGCCTCGTATGCGACAGATACATTACCAATGGTTTTTCTGAAGGTATCTCATCGATTTTGGAAGATTAGGTTCTCATAGTTAGAATTGCTCAGATAGATATATGAGATTGTTGTTAAGCATAGTGAGTTCCTAAGCGGACGTCGATGTATTTGGAACAGCGTTTCGTAATTCTTCAGCATTCCGACTTATTTCTAAATAGCGTGATACTATCTTATAGACCTCACTATGATTGAATTGGGGCAAATTCTCTCGTCAATTTAAAATATCGTTGTTTCGCAGTGTAGCCACGGTCTACATGGTAGCCGCATCGTATTTCGAACGGCTGTTTTAACGTATTTCATAGATTGTGAGTTGCAAGATTGTTTTAGTGCCTAAGCCAGATCCTCTGCTTGTGTATTTATTCGTACTAACACAGCGAGCGATGCCACCGGCCATCGACAGGTTACGCAAGGTTGTCTCGTCCGGCAGTAACTTAATAGGCTCCGACAGTGGTAAGAATTATCGCCTACTCCGTCGCTAAAGCTGCACATTTTTTTGGCGTATTCAATAATTACATATCGAAAGAACAATTATCTAACATTACGTTTTGTACGAAGTTTATGGAAAATAGGGGTAAGTTGAAGGCCTGCCGTGCTCACACTACATAATGACTACACAAAAAAAATCTTCGTAGCATAAACAATAAAATTCTTCCTCAAATGCAGGCAAGCAAATATTTCACACGAGACAACTGGCTACCAGCTGAAGGAAGAAGGCAACTTTAAATGATCTGAGATAGACTACGCCTCTATCAAATAACGGTACACGTACAAACAATGCCGGTCGTTCATGAGATCGCAGACACTACTAGGTGTTCCGTACGGCGTCACTATCCTAGGATGAAATATTGATCGATTATAATAAAATATATTCTACAAGTTGTTTTTCGTTGAATAAGGTTAATGTAATAATGAATATTTGATCAATTTTCATATGTGTAGCTGAGGACCTGAGGAAAGACCCGAGAAGCCTATGGAAGCTACGACTGAAGTTGGCGTTAGCAGTAATGCTTGTGGCTACCGTTATCTCTGCTCTAGTCGTGTTCTTCTCAATTAAGCAGTAAGACTGACAACGTAGCTGTTGTCGTTGTTTTTGCTTGCAGTAAAAGCTAAATTCGAAGACGACCGCGCTTTTTTTGGTAGTTTAAAATTCAGTATTTGAGAAGCTTTTGGTGTTTATGTGTGAAGACAGTAGCCGAAATTAGTCTTAAGAAGAATCGTAAGAAATGCTTGCTTTTTTTTTTTTTTTCTAGCCAAACCGTACCCAAACACGTTGCTGCTAAACAAGCGTAAGTACGATCTTCCATGAAGCTTTTTCGTGCCTGGCAATATATCAAGAGTATTGAATTTGCCCATGCTAGTATAATGTACTGCATAAATAACGCGTTTGATAAAAAGCCAAAAGTATTTGTTTAGCCGAAGGCCTGAACCTTCTAACTATTGCTGTATGTTTTACCATTGTCTTGACAAATTTGTTATGAATTGATTTTTACAGACATGCCAAAATTCATCCCACTAAGAAGCTACCGTACGTATTTTTGATTGTTTCAATAATCGGCATTAGGGGCCTAGTCCTAATAGGCCTTGGAAAGGATTTTTCTAGTTTTAACAATAGCTAGCGTCAGAATCACTTTCTTGTCATAACGAATAATTGACTGAGGGATACGTTTTGCCTTTCATCTTAATTACTATGAGTGAATGCAATTAATTTTCACAGACGTGCCGAGGTTCATCCTGTTACTAAGTCATCGTACGTATTTTTGATCAATACGAAAATTCACTTTACTTTAATACATTTTTTCTAATTTCGACAAAAGTATCGAGAAAAAATATCTAAAAGATACTGAGAATAATACTAGGTATTTTTTTTACAGATCCACTGTGCCATCGGCAGTTTCCTCGAATTCTAAGAAAAAGTAAACTTTGCTCACGATAATTATATCATTAGCGCTCAATTAGGTTTAATGTAAAGGACAGGACAAAGCTTGCTGTGTCCTGTTCACCACGTAAAATTCTAGGATAAACCATGTGTCGATTTGCTACACTGAATAGCTAATTTTAATAGAGTGCAAATAATTCAGATCTATATTTTTGATAATAGTTCTAATTTGTTTTCGTGGATTAGAAAAATCCCAAGCCATAGGGGTTTTTTTTTCTTTTTCTTAATTAGAGTGTGTGAACTTTAATTATCAGTACATCCACTAAGCCACAAAAAAAATCACCGGCGGCTCTAGGGACAAAGATATCATAACTATTACACTTTCAGAAAACGATAGCTCTTGCTCCTCCGTATTCATTTCGAATGCAATTGATTTGCAGACATGCCGAAGACCATCCCATTACAAATTCACCGTACGTATTTTTGATCAATATAATAAAAATCGAAAAAATATGATAAAAATGTTAGGTACCAACATTTTTTTACTAATTTCAATAAAACTATTGACAGTTGACTGAGATGCTAGCGACACTTCTTTTTTCCTCTTCTACAGATCCCTGGCACCTGCAACTCCCTCGGATTCTAAAGAAAAGTGAACTTGGCTCTCACAATATCTATTTCATTAGCGTTTAATTAGGTTTGATATTAGAAAAAAGGCGATGCTTATGGGCCTTGATGTACCCTAAAATTTCGCTGAACATGCATCGATTTGCTACGTTCTCATTAACCGATTGAAAGTATTGAATAGCTAGTTTCTGCTTCAGCAGACTCTCTCTGTGTGTCTGTGTACCGATTAGGATAAAATCAGGCACATGAGGCACGCGAGTCATCATCTTGATTAACGATACCAATCTAGCAATGCTGTAGAACGTACTGATGGAAAATTCTATCAAGCTGCTCCCTAGCATTGTAACTTGTAGACAGATGACGATAGTCGATCGTCGTTTGTCTACAATCACGGAGTATTGAAAGTAAGTCATACAATAATATGAGAATCATATATTAGCCGTATAGTAAGAGAGAAAGCGAATAGCATAACCCAGAAAATAACGATGATGAATCAATCTTCTGGGTTATGCTTGATGCGTACATGTCAACCTGACAGCTAAGTGCAATGGATTCGAAGGCCTGTAGACATACATAGACTGCTCTGGCTAAGTTCGGTCATTACCGTGGGATTAACAAGTATCTTTTTCCAGCCAACCCAATCCGCAAAGCTCTATAAAGGATCTTCTTAATTCTGTGGCGGACACGTAAGGTCTTTTTTAGAACATATTCTTTCTTTTTTTTTTCTCTGTAATTAGTATCTAATATTTTGCCCTAAGGCAATCCGACGATACGCCTTATGCTATTAAAACCGTGCTGATCTCTGTATATTTTATCAACTACGAACTTCTTGTAATCGTGCACGTCATTTCCGGGGTGCGAAGTTAGGTTAGTATGCAATAACTTATGTCGAACTTAGCTCCCCCTAATGTCGTATTGAGCTCGTCGAGGAAAGAATAATATCGAAGGAAGAAATGACGAGAATATTCTTTCAGCTGGCCCGATTTATGGAATTCTCCAGAGGATCTCCCTGATTTTCTGGAAAACGAGTAAGAACTTTCGATTCGTTCTGCTTTGACATTGTATAACGTATCCTTTGCTTTCGTCGACAAGATTCAGGCTCAATTTCATGTATAGCTATTAAAACGCTTAATGAGAAGCATGTACAGGTTTTTGCGTTTGCGATTTGAATTTCAATAAACTCCGTTTTTTTTGGAAGGCATTTTGTTTAAGCAACGCCAACATTTTGATGTTATCCATTGCCAGGGAGCACAGTAAACAAGAAGTACATCGAAGTATTTTGTAAATCATTTCAAGACCCCAGAAGTTATGTTTGGCTACGGGAGATATTCTAATGTAAGTGTACCTAGGAAGGTAAATGCTATAGTAGTTCTTGGCTATTTGAAAAATCTAACTTCGTGTCGGAATACAATGGGATGCTGAGGCTTGCTTGGTAGTACTTTCCAATTTTCTACGATAGTCAGTAAATATTACCCTTCTACTTTGATGCTAAAGCTACTAAAGATGGAGTATAACATTTGGCTAATAAATAATACTACCCAGCGCGCAGTGCTTATGCGCTAGCTTTTTTGGCACTGATATAGCTTAGGTCCCGTCCCGTCTTGCTTTTAGCATCTGACACAAATTTGCGCCTATAGTGGATCCTGCCATTTATGCTGTGGTTATAATAATATGAACACCAATATGTATAAGCCAAGTTATAAGTATCTTAATCGCTACAGCCATTTTCGAAATTATACGAACGCCCCTACACATATTCGAAGTTAAAACGTAACATCAAGTTCTTTTATCTTGCAAGCGATTCGTTCTATTTAGCATATTCTATTTATTTAACTTGTTCTCTTTGAGGCTGTTTGTTTGTTACCTATAGGTAGATTGAATTAATTGCTTGCCCCCCGTTTACCCAAAGGTATGCCTGATTGATTGGTTGTCAATATTCGTCACAAAATGCGCGACTCTATTATACGTGCAGCGAGGTGCGCGATTATGATCCAGACCAAATAGGCGCCTTCAGGTTATTACGTCAAAAGATCATTTACGTCAATGGCACATTGCCAGTGAAAGATAATTCTAAGCCAAACAGCGAGGATTCTGTTGATTGCGAAGATGTATAGATACGTCGATTTATGAAGATCTATACGCCGAACAGTATCATGGGGATGACTATAAGGTATATTATCTACTGGGATGTGCATAAGTTACCGTACCTTTTACGTATCTTGCATGTTAATTGACTATGTATGTGCCCCGAATTTTTTAGCCTAAAGGGCAGCTTCATAGGATGCGCTGTTATCGATAGCCGTTTAGCGAAACCGTAATTGCAAATTAAGTAGGTCCAATTTTTTTTACCGTATGAGTCTTTCACTTGCGGTGTTTTTTTTGCTTAGCTACAGCCGACCTTGGCAAATTATTTATTTTAAGTAGCTACATAAATTGCTAACACGGTATTCATATTCGCAGGTTTTTATGACGGTATGTAACGGTCATATACAGTTATAATGGATGTCTCAGTAACGACCTCCTGAGTATCACGATTTCATCGACACGCTGTTGAGTTCCGGCCAGTGCATTCGAACGTCGGCTTTCGACGAAGCAAAGCAATGTTCCGCTAGCTTTATAAACATTAATAAAATTCCAAATAATTTCCAAATATATTTGGGTAAACATTTGAATCTCTTCTAGGTAGGCCTCAGGTACTCAGATCTCAGGAGAGCTACGATGGAAACGCAAGAAGAAACGAGTAGAAACTACAACTCCTTATTGTAAGACCTCTGGTCTTCTTAATAACTTCGTGCCGATTGCAACGTTGTTGGGTATTTGAACCTGCCTGTGTTTAATCTAGTTTCTAAGTTAAGCTACTTTCGAATTTCTAAGATGGCGTTGGATACCTCCACAAGGTTCACTGGGTCCAAATAAAACACATTATTGAACCTTGTAGATCCTTATATGACGTCGATATACGATGGTCACCGTTTAGTATAGTTACGTTTTCAAGGCGTAAGTGTTTTTGAAGCGATTTAATTCCGCATAAGGAACCCTAGCACGAGACGCGTCATCAAAAAAGCCAAGATTTTTGAATCTGTCGACCCGGCGATAGAAACGCGTGTTTTGCAATGTTAATGTCTCTCCGACTGCAACCTATACGTTTCGACACGATCGATTCATCGGCCTACAGCCGAATGCAGCATGAGTAAAAATTCAAAATGTAGAATAGATTGTTGTGCAGTCTGCGCATCAGTGCATGCATTGCGATAGTTTTTTTGGGTATTTCTATACGACTCGTATGATGATACGAGAGGGCCTAGTCTACTCTACGCTGCCACTATCAAGAAAAAACAACGATGGTAATCACTGTTAACTGGTGATTAGAAGAAATGGCCTACTAACTACTTTTGGTATCGGACCAAATTACCTCGCCATCTTATATATCGTCCTCTCGTCGCCGCCGCCGCCGCCGCTTAAAGCACCCCAAACTGAAACATAGGGTATGCATTATACCTTTTATAGGGCAATGTTTCAATCATCAGCAAACGACGAAGTGCCGCCCCAGCCCAGTGCCCTTGTTACTGCTCATCTTTTGAGCTAATCATACATGTAAAAGTATGTTTCCTCTCATTATAGTATTATATATTATACTACTCAATGAAAAATAGACGAATAGACCTTCTAGTTTCAAGTATCTATGCGTTATATATATAACGCCTAGTCATAAGAACAAGAGGCAGTATTATAATAAACGTAAAGCGAAACTTGGGTCAGTAATTAGCATTTGATGTTGTGTAACGAGAGTCGTCCAGGGTTGTGTGTGAACGTAGCGGTCGATGGCGTAATTTTTCGCCGCACCAAATCAGCCGAGCCGAAAATTTTATTTTACGAAAATGTGTAGGATGGGTGGGTAGAAGACTCGTGGCTCTCTGTGGCAAGCTGTTTTGACATAGTGAAGACACGTAAAAAGTATATATTAAATCAATGCATCTCTTCCTGCGCCGCAGTGTGCAATTGTTAGGGGATGCGTTATTCGATTGAACCTACGCTTTCAATAAACCTTAGTAACATCGTTAATCGCGCCGGCCAGTTCAAGAGGAAGTTGCGTACATTCAGCATCAGAGTATGCTTTCAATGGTCGTAGCTGTAGTTCTCGTTTTTCTTCAATTTCGACGTAACGTCCAGTAAATAGTTCAACCTACAGGTCTACATTGCTTTTGTGATGCTAAATTTTAGATAGATAATAGCACAGCAGGCCCAACGCCTCAAATATATATATAATAGGCGAACTACTCAAGTCTGAGCTATTCTTTTTCTTGTTTTTGTTTGCTTTCTGGTCTTTTTTCAATGCTGTACAGATTAACTGCTTCTGGCTAGGACTATTCGCAACTACAGTTGTGCCTGGGAAATTTTGATACGCTCTGACTAGTTTCGGTGTGGCCGCTGCTTTTTCGTGACCAAAAATTGGTGACGCATATTGTAAATATGATTGGCCTTAAACTGATGTAGGACATTTGTGTGAATACATTTTTATGAGACATCAAGCTAAATACTTTGTGCCATTTTGGCTATATTCATCGCAGTTTACTACTGGCCACTAGTAGTGTTTTAATAAAGTCTTTTCGTATCTGAGGGGCTAATACAAAGTAAACCAGATCGGTGTTTCCTTTTGGGATGACTTCGCAGCATAATTATCCTCTAAATGCACGGCAATTCATCAACGCACACAGTAGTACTCTTCGACTATGAAGTCTATTAACGGCACGTCTTTCGTTTTACTTCATGATGAATACTGGGGGTACTATATAAATTCTTTACATGCGCCATTTTTACTTCAAAATGCATTTATTCCGCTATATTTAAGAATACTACTACTACTAGTTATTTAAGCAAGCAACAACAACAACAAAAAAACATTTAACAACATTTCTGCAGGAAGTGCTCACGTATAACTCGTAGCAATCCTTTTTTTTTTTTGTTTGTCGAGTTCGTTTTACGCTATTGAGTGAATATTCGCGTCATTCTTCGGATAATAGATTTCAACCCGCTCTTAGACAATGGACTGCCTGTAAGACGCAGGTCAATACTCGCCAAGCCTTAAATTGTCTGTACCTTTCGGACGTGAGTTAGCCTTCATACAGATAAGGAAATGTTTGATATTTGCGTGCGGTTGGTGCATGCGTTGCACTCTGCTGCCTAAAATGATAACTTGTTCTAAATTCCTCTTAAGTATAACTTGTGGAAACGACGCGCACTGTCTAAGCAAGTTATTTTGCTATATGAAAACCTAACGTCGTGGAAATTAAGTGATTTTTTTTTTGATCAAGTTAAGTATTGGAATCTACTATCAATTTGCAAAACAGATATGCCAGAAATACAGGGTTATTAATAAAAAAAAAAGAGTCTAGCGTACAAAGTTTTTCTATACGGTTAACAAGGGTAATCTGTGCCCAGGGAAGAGACCAGTTCAGGAAGAAGATCCCATGGCCATATCAGGACACAAACTTACACATAAAAAGCCGTTTTCCCAAAACGGTTTTTTAAAACATAGGACGCCAAAGATAGGTCTATAAAAGCAGCAGACTCAGAGATTTTTGTGTAAGAGGCGTAATAGAACGCAGCCACAACTTCTGAACATTACATAGCCTATCAATGTATTTGTTTTCAAAGATACTTTTCAGGGATAACTTTTCAGCTGAAACACCAGGTTATAACAAGACTCGAGCGTGTTGCAAACGAAATCCAACGGGGGTCAGTGAATACATTGTGATATATATTTTTATCTAAAGTCACCAAAAGTATTTTTATCCAATAATACTTCATGCATAAGCTGGAGGTTTTACCGCTATAGAACTACGGTAAAACCTAATCCTAATGAAAACACTTTATTGAAAGACGAATAGGACCTCTGCCTTGAAGCCGCAAATATGACGACATGTTATTTTAGTTGGCGACTACATTGACAATTTGAGAGAATACACCTTATAAACACAACTCATCCATAGTCCATATTGTAAAAACGTGCAGGCCAGCCTGTAAAAACGTACAGGCCAGCCTCACTTCAGTATTCTAAATTGAAAGCAGAATTCATACAGAACCAATGATTTGTAGAGTTACGGTCTTTACTGAATAGTAGATAATGCATTTGATAATTTAGGAACACCAGCGAATTTCAAAAAGTAACTACGGATTCTGCAGAAACTTTACATAATGCAGAGCAAATTTGAGATGGCTAGCTGTGCCCAGCCTGAAGCCGCCAGAGTTCGAGGTTCTCGCGAATAATCTTTAAGATTAGCGTCGCGTCCCTGTGACGCTCCTCAGATATGGCGTCGAGTTCTGCAACTGCCTCGTCAAATGCGTTCTTGGCAATTTCGACCCCAACGGACCGGTCGAGCAAAAATTCATGGCAGAACATTGAGTAGTTGAGGAATATCCCGAGGGCAACGGGGTCTGTCGGTGTTAAATGGGTTCGGGCTAATTGGTACGCCTCTTTATAGGCATCTTGGGCTACACCGACACAGAGCGCGCGCTCTGGATCTACCTTGACTTCGGCCAGATACCTGGAAAGAGGAAAATGTTAACACGGTAATCTTCGACAAGATTCCTCATGCTCATACGTTCATGTCAAGCTAGTTATTGTTAATGTTCTATTTGGTCTCATTCGCAAAGATAGGTGCTGTCGGATGAAAAATAATTATCAAAAAAGATGTTTTGCAATTCGGGAGTAATTCGGTTACAAGCGCTAGAAGACAAGGGTGCGCTAATCAACCCGACCTCTGCCAGTTGTCATGCACTCACCTGAAGTAGTCAGCTTTTGTCTTCAGGAAGATCGAGCGGGAAATGACATCGTCAGCCATTCCGAGAAGGTCATTGACGATCCGCAAAACGTCATTACACAGGACGACAATCTCACTTTCGATATTCTAAATTGGCATCATCATTCATGCGGAATTACTGGCTGATACAGCTATGATCTATGCACCATTGTAGATAATTATATTGTTTTGCTGAATAACTTTCACAAATGTACCCATTGATATAAATGCGTTATTGAATATAATGGGAATCTTATTATAAATCCCTAACGACTTAACGTCAACCCTTATCTCTCTCGAATCAGACTTTTTTTTCTTTGAGATTCGGCTGCCATTCCGACAACTTTCGCCAATGAATGAGCTGTTCACCGAGAACAACCTCAGCACGAAGTATACACGAATATCGAAAGCAAATTCATGAACAAAATGTCTACGCTTTTCGTTATGTACCTGCATATACGCACGTAAAATACTCTGGCGTTGAACAGCGCTACGTTGACCTGATTCCAGTAACGCGTTGAGATTCTTCCAGGAAGTCCGTCGGATGGTCACCGCATTCTTAAATCCAATGATAAACTGATCCCGCTCCTCCGAATCGAAGCTTCGCTCGGATTTAAAGCGCGTCCAAAGGTCCTTCATAATGTAGGCGACATCATCGTACCGTTCAGCGACCTCGGCCAGTTTGGCTACATCTAATAACTCTTTTCGGTTCAGAGGTGCGAGGTTCATTGATGCCATGGCGCGAAGTGCGAGACAATCTGCAGCTCTCGCACAGCCACGCAGAGTCGCCCTCTTTTAGAAAGCGATTTATGTTTACACTTCGCTTTGCAGATAACAATTCGTTATTTTCAACTTCGGACATAAAGAATAGATATTACCTTTGGCAGAGCGAGTACGTTCACTAGTCTCAATGGAACGTAAGGTTTTTGACGCTGTTTGAACGCGAGCGAAGGAAGTAGGCATTTTTACGTGGCAAATTTACCGCGCACGCAGGCGAACCAGCCAATACATTTCTCAGAAATATTCGGATGGAAAGTTTTCGTTGTTTTTAGCCAATAATACGTATTAACCTTATGTTGTGATGTTCAGAAATATATCTAAAACTCAATGTGATTTTTATGTGTGTGTTTTTACTTTGAGTGGCCACATTGAAGCGGTACATACTGTGGGCTTACGATGACGCTAGATACGGTTGGTCTTACGTGTCGTCGTTACGCCAGATTAGTGAGAAAGGTGGACTGTGTTAAAGGAGGCAAAAAACGAAAAAGGAAATGAGACCAACTGGTTCTAGTAACAGAGCCAGGTCACGCTGCTGGCTGGACGCCTCTTCTTCATTATCTACGCGCCTCGATTTTTGAACGCGTACATTTGACGTTTTACATAGTAATTTTTCTATCATTTAAATATATGTATGTAGAATGCACAGTTTTTCCTCGTAACGGTTTCTGCAACAGCCATGTTACATCCATTTTGTTAGGCACGCCATCTTAAGGGTTTCTTTATTCCCGCTGCCCCCTTTTCCTTTCTATCCTGAAAAGAGGTTTCACTAACTCTGACAATGCGCTTCTGTATAGTCGACAGTATGCCGCAGCACATCTGCTTAAACAGTGCATATATAAAAACATACTTTAAATAAACTTAGCTTTTTTATTCGGTGGAACTTACCATGTCGTAAAAGTAAAATTAGCGTTGCCTGCCCTTTTAACAGCGGAACTCTAACTGTGTAAGTCGGTATAGTAAGTCTAGTCGCATAAGCATATTCACTAGAGCAGAAATACTGACGACGTTTTTTGCTTGATATTTCCCTTTGTACAGCAGTTTGTCTACGTCTTCAAGTGTTGCGCCAATGCCAAAGACGCATTGGAGCTAGATAGATCAAAGCAAAGAAGTAATCTTAATTTCCGTGCGTTTCAACAACAGCGCCGACGGGCTTCGGGGTATATCTGGCACGCGACCTAACTGCTACTACCATCTACCTGGCAAATAGCAAGAGTCTATTGCGAGAGACCAAAAAAGTTATGGGGAACCTGCTGTTTTGTGCCGCTGTAGATGAAAGCTTGTCAGCGCTGCCCACGCGACACTGTCTGAGAATAACGAGAGACGTCGTGGGGGTCGTATCAGGTAGTAATACAAAAACCAACCTTAATACCCCTCAGTGAAGTTGCTCGACTCTGGGACTGCTAGCCAGGTCCCATTGCTGTTTTGCTTTCTTACTACAACTATTGCTAGAGTCTGTAACAAAGCAAGCAAAGCGCTAAGAGAATGCTGGCTCTATCGTAAAAGTGTCAATATCAATTGCGGGAACAGCTGGAAGAGAGACGATGAGGGGTAGAAGCACGGGGCGACTCATGCTAGCATAGAATGAGTCGTCCTAGCATTACGATTATAGCCAGCACAACACCAACATCAAAAGATCAAGCGAGTCGAGGCACGGCAGGCCTCGAACAAGAAACAACGTGAAAACAGACAGACGGGCAGGCAGGCAGGCTCTGCTGTCCAAGACATAGCGCTCCAGCCGGAGTCCTGTACGAATAGATCTCGGTAATATCGTGTCCTGAGTCTCATTATGTGCGGTCTATCTTTAACAGGTATGCTACGCAACAGTTACAAAACAGTCGAAAGCGACTCGACTTGCTATTTGGAAACACAGTATTGGGTTTCGTATTCGGTCATCATGTACTTTTGTCTTTGCTCATCCCCTTGTGCGGCGTTACAATGCCGTTGTCACCGACTATACATATATATATATTGTGTTGTTGAAAAGTATTGGCCATTTTTTTTTTCTCCATTAAAATTAAAGCAAATATTTTGATTTTTATAATGATCTTGTTAAATTAGAAATGCCTTATTTTGGTCGATCTCCTTCCCCCATCTTACTGGCAGCGTGATAATCCGATTATCGTAGAACTTCAATAATTCCTAAGTGAAAAATTGTAACAAGTAATTTTTACGTTTTCCCATTGAAACTAGATCATTAACATTAAGAGAATCCTGCAGAAATCGGGACAGGTGGTATACGATTTATAATCTATATGTTAGAATTTTTCATCGAATTAAATAAGTTTTGCCGGATTGCTTAAGATGAGTCTGATCTGGCATTGTCATGGTGTAAAATGGAAACGCCTATGTTCATTAATTTCGGTAGACTTTTTTTCCAATGATTTATGGTAAACTCGTCGGTTGTTGAGAGTATAAGTTGCAATTATCTTTTACCAGTTGGCAGCATCTCATAACGCACGATCCCTTTCCAATCGTAAAAAACATATAGCATCATTTTTTTTGGCGTTTTGGTGTCCACATTATTACAGGCTTTTTTTTGTCCGAGTTCAGGTTGCCTTTCCTACAGATGGAAATAGTTCGAAGTAAATCTTTTGCGTTCATTCGTGTGGCATCCAAACATCGAGTACCTTTTGTAGGCAGCTTTTTCAACTGTTTGCTGATGGATGTTTAGTTTTGGCGATATGGTGGGTATTCACTTTCGGAATACCCGAAGCGACGCGTATTACCCCAATTCAGTGGCAACATGATGACTATCTAGATAGATAAACGGTCTATATATACATACATACATATATAGAACGATATATAGAGCTGAGTGACTTCTGGAAACTGTTTTGTGTTAGTGTGGCCCGTATGTACTAAATATGAACAAGACGCTTGCGGGTAGAATAAACACACACACTCCGAAAAGATACACTTTTTATTAAAAACAGTTTTCAAGTTATCAACGAGGCACGGTGTATACTGCCGTCGCTGCGGTAAATTATCCCAACCTACAACATCTACCCGTCTTGAAATATGTCCCGCTAAACGGTCTAGAAACGAGGCTTTGTTTATGGCATCCTAAGATCGCCTTGAAATGAAGCACTTCGCTGTTGACAGAGGCTGCAGTCTTCTTCCATATGGACGTTAATAAATAGCTTTATGTGATCTTTGTGTCAGTAAGTATATCCATGCGTCGAAGTAGGCAACCTTTCGTACACTTCCATGGGCCAATGCGGGCTGCGTCTTCTGGTGCAGCAATTTTTCATCATTTCCTCGAATTACTTATAACTTCGTGGCGCTTTGTTGCCTCATGAGAAGTAATTTAGGAAAGCAGGTGCAATAATAGGCCTATAAAACATCAGGGTATTCCTCACGAGAGCATTTGCTTGTAACCAGTCAAAGAAATCATATGGTCGAATGGTATGAACTTGTACATACTATTTGCTTCAACCAAGATGGGACATTATCTCTGTCGGAAGGAACACGATAGCTACCACTATAGTACGATTCGTAGAGCGGTGCCATATGTGAAAGAAAAACTTTAACGATTTAATTTTAAACTATCAAGTTACTTACTTTTAAACTCTGCCATAACAGATTGAAGGAATTTCTTCAATATCGATTTTAAAAGACCGGCTGTTTCAAAATTATATATGTGCCAGACGAAAAGCTGCCGGGAAGGACCGTCAATTTTTCGCAAGCTTCATCGGTTTCTTTGATGCCGAAATTAAAAGCTACGTTCGAAAATGGTTGATTTCATTGTGTTGCTATATTTTCTTAGGATTCGCTAGCCGGGTGGCGCTAGGGACCACGATAACGATCCGGTTCAAAGTCAAGCCGTGCGTAATTAACAACATTTATGAAGTGCCCCTGAGTGGATTATCTTTTTGGCAATTTTTTTCTCGAATTTTTTGTTTATTCAGCTAATTATATCAATAATAATAATAATATTAGTGGTGATATTTTACGGTCTATTTCTCTCAGCATCATCGTTGATTGGTCGAAAAATGGCCGACTGAACTTACTTGCTAGAAGATCACTCACAGCAGTTGCTTTTTGAAGAATTGAACGGAGTACCGACTGGGCGAAGGTTGAAAGGACAGCCTGACATGAGAGCGACCTCATCGATTTTCATACAAAAAAAAGGACACTCTGTTCCTCATTTATCGTTCTGAATCGTTGCGGTAACAGGCTCGCACATTAAGCTCATCAACGATGCAGATTTAACTGAGGCCCTTGATTTAGCCCAGTGACTATCTTCAGTTGGCTTTTAGCTCGAGTTAGATGCTAAAAGAATATTGGTGTTACATATTTTTCAGCTAGAAAAGCTCAGCAGAGAATTGGATAAAATTTATTATGGGTGGCAGAGTAGATGTTATCTGCACAGTTAAAGGGGATATATTTATAACGTAAAATGCAATCGTTAAAATTCAACCGAATTTAAAATTCTAATTAAATAAATTTCTTTTTGTCACATATATTCCCGACTTTATTGTATTGATCCTTGTTGTATTTACAGTAAAGGAGCCTATAAAGATCTAGATCCTTCGAACAGTTAGCAGCGTTACACGATTTGCATTACGGGCTCATTTTGTAATGTAAAAAATTACCTGGCAATAGAATAACACCGACGATAAAGTTCGTATAAAGTTAAAGCTGAGTAAGTTGCTTTGGTAGATAGTCTGCTGACCCTTTTACATTACATATAAATGTCAAAAAAAAACCTACATAAACAGACGAGCGCATTTACGGAGGATCCTGTTTTACAGTTGTATAATCCTAAATAGGAAAATAATATTAAAGGAACGGCTGGCAAATTTCAAAAAAACTAACGTAACTTAAATCCTTAACCCATTAAGAAATACTACCAATTTTAACCAAATATGCTTTGATTGAGGTTATCGAATGTAGCAAAATTGGGCCTATTCGTTAGATATCATCTAACCGACGTCACAACGAATTCAACTTCTTGATGATCACTGAGACAGTTAAACCGCTCTAATTGGTTGGAGGTTATTACAAGCAGACCCCCCTAGCCATTCGAATATTTATGACGTTCATCTTTATTAAGAATGTTCATAGCAAGTCTACAGGTCCACAGGAGACACGCAGACCTGGCCTCGTTATTGGCAGGCCGCTGATATAAAACCTATTAAATGGTGCTTTCAAATCTACAAGATAAACTTACTTTCTATTGTTTTTTCAACGTTGCCTAAATTATGCAAATATCCATTAGAATTGGTTCGTCCAGATCCATCTGCGTACGAT